GGCGCGGCGCACGACGAATTAAAGTACCGCTGTGCCGACAGTCCCACGTCCCGCGCAAAGCCCGTCACACTACCAGCACGTCACGGAACAGTAACCTCTCCACCCATATGTTCCGTTAATAACCACCAAGTCCAGCGGCAATCAGAAACGCTTAGTGCACTGAAAAGCAATCCTGCATTAATATTTTTACACAGTGGGGGCAAAGTAAAGTATATAAAGCTCCAGGAATAGACATGTACATAGAACTAAGGCAAGTTCAAACCCAGAACCAGGAGTGGATTAGCTTATCTGGGGGCCCTGGCTGACATCAGCATTTCTCCTGAAGCTGGGGGGAGGTCTAATGTACCTAGGAGAGCCCGTGTGTTAATCGGCCCCTGTCCAGAACCTTGGAGGCTTGAGGAATCAATGCTGCATGCTGGGAGTAATAACATTCTGTCAATACGATCACTCCAATGCCTATAGCGGAGCTCAGCCAGACTCAACTGGCATGCGGAGGGACGTAAGAGATGAGTACTTCATATGTTGGATGCGTGCAGTTTTTGCTGGACGCAGGCATTGAGCAGTGAGCAATAGCACTGCAAGGGAGTTGGTCTCGATAGAGCCGGGCTGAACTTGCATGGAAATTCTGTGCATTTAAACATTTCTGTGTCATGGGAATGAATGGCATGACATTGAGGCAACTGTTGACATGGATAATGCGGGCAACGATTAGAGGCAAACTCAGGAGAAACAAATCAAATATTTCATTATGCTGCTTACCGCCGGATTAAAAATAAAACTTTACAAATAAACGTAGAGAGCTGACATTCTGCTGCTCGACTCCCAGTCTCTGGAGTTTTAGGAGCTAAAAATCTATTCTGCTTTCTGCCTGAAGGAGAAACACAGACTCACCTAGATGCTGTCAGCAGGGCCTCTGTTTATTAACCATTACCGGCCCTGTTCCTCTCTGCCTAAGTCGAAAGAAATAAAAAATTCAATTTGAGTGAATTGAGTTCCTAGCACAAATAAACAGTGACACAGGAACGTACCAGACGCAGGCTGGGCAGCAAGGGGTGCAGCCAAGTAAAAAGGCCAG